GTGTGTGTGTGTGTGTGTGTGTGTGTGTGTGTGTGTGTGTGTGTGTGTTCAAAGGAAAGGGAGGCTACAGGATTGATTATGACTTATTAAACTATTGGAACATCGACTGAATCATCACAGTCAAAAATAAATAAATAGCTGCAACTTGGTGCGACACATCTCCCACTTCTTGCTGGTCCCTCTTTCCTCCCGCAGAGCGACACAGCCGCGTAGGAGGAGCGGTTGGGCTGGGTCAAACCAGCAAGCACTGATTGACAGGCTAAATTAAAGCTAGGAGAGACTGTGCGGCCCCGGGGCCTCCGGTTGGGAGACCTGTCGAGCCCCGCGGAGGCCCTGCTGGCTGCGGGAACTGAAGCCAGGTGCGACACACACACCTGCAGGCGCTTGCAGCGGGAGATCTGCTTGCTGTTTTCACACACACACACACACACACACACCCTTCTCTCTTCTGTCCTTTGCTAGGATCTGCAACCCGTGCGCTGTGTCTGGGACTAGCCCGTGGTAGGGCACGGCTTTGTAAACTTGAGAACGTGACTTGACGGTCCGGAGCAAGTCTAGGTCACCCCAGCCCCTGCGACAACTGCCTGGAATTTGTTGGGTAAAATCGGATCGAGTCTCTAAAATCGGAGGAAAATCAGCGCGGGTCCTCACCGGGAGGAGTCGTAGGGACATTGACATCGCTTCACCCTCCACCAGCATCCAGGTCCGCTGTCCCCTCCTCCCCGGGTGCCCTAGGTCACCCGCAGGATTCTCCACTCTGCTCACCGGTGCTTCAGGACCGGTGGGCGGAGCGAAGCTGCTGTGACGTCACGAGCAGGGGGCGTGGAGAAGTGTGCCCAGGGGCTGCCACCCGCCTGGGCCAATGCAAGCTGTGCAGCCACCGGCGCGCTCTCGAGGCCACCGGCGCCCAGAGCACCAGTCCGCTATTGGGTGTCAATGATCTGCAAGCCAGGCTAGCTCTCTCGAGGTCCAGGCTAACTCTTTCAAATGCCAGAGGGGGCCCGCACGAGCCAGCCAAGGAAGCTGAGAGCCCAGGAGCCAAGCTACTGCACTCACCAGCGCACGACTGGATAAAGGACAGCTTCGGGGTGCTGGAGAACCCAGAGAACCGAGTGTTCGTGGAAAGCAAGGTGAGGGGTGTGTGTGGTTACCCGTGTGTGTGTATATGTGTGTGTCACAGAGAGATGGTGGGAGCGACGAGCGCACTTGGGCACCTGCGTGCATCTGCGCTGGGGATAGAGCGCTGATCCCGGCGACCTGCATGTTGGTTCCAGCGCTCAATTCTCTGCATTTGTGCTTTTGGAGGTGACAGGTAGAAGCGAAAGATGCGTATCCCGGCGTCACGGGTGGAAAGGTAGTATATTCCAGGACGGATTTGTCCGCACAGCCACTACCCAGGTACGGTGGCGTGTGATCTGCGAGCCTGAGTGTCCAGTTAGTAGCTGTGATGGGAACAACTTACTTCCTAGCCACCTGCGAAACAGCCCTGGTCCAAGGAAAGCGAGACCAGCTAGAGGAGAAGGGACATGTCAGGTGCCACCACAGGGCTCCTGAGTTCATACCCTGAGACATAAGTTAGGGAGGGACAGGGGATGGGGACATCGCAGAGAGAAGGAAAGCGGATTTTTCCGTTTTTGTTTTGTTTTTGTTTTTCTTCCAACGCCGCCCGCCCGATGGGGAGGCAGACCAGATTCGTATGCGGTCAGGTCCCTCCTACACCCCCCCCCCCCCGCAGCCCTCGAGCAGAGACATCTGTCTAGATAGGAGAGAACCAACCACTGAACTGTCAAGTCCCCAGGAGACTGTTGGCGCTCCTAGCTGCCCCTGGCACCTCAATCCCCTCTGTGTATCGAAGCTGGTTGTGCGGGCACCATGGTCCACTCTCCCTACAATTTCCTGGAAATGGTGGGAAATCCTTTAGGGAACACTTTGTTTCCCGGGTCAGCGAGTTGTTGGCCCCAAATATCCCCACCCCTGGACTAACTCTGCGGTCCAGAGGCTCACTTATCTACCTCCCACTCACCGGCCAGTGCTGAGGGGCACTCTAGCGCCATGCTGAACCACACAGGGCTGCTCATCTATGCTGGTATAGGCTCAGTGTTCAGCCCCAGATTTTTGGAGCAGAGTGGGGGTGGGGGCGTCTAGCAGATTTAGGGGAGGGGGTCTTGAGGGCTCACAATAGAAGGATGTTGGGAAGTCGGTGAGACTAAAGCTGAATGGAATCTCAACCATCCCACCTCTGAATTCATGGGCTATGGAGCATATGGGAACAAGAGAAGCTCCCTGAGACAGTGGGAAACCCTTCTCTCCAACAGAGCCAGGACTCTCTCAGGGGAAACCACCCACCAAGCCACGGCCAGGATTAACAGCCCTGACACTGAAAAAAAAAGAAGAAAATCAGACTTCCTGGTGCATTTAATTTAACCACAATTCAACAAGTATCGACTGGTGGCATTCAGAATTCTCTTTCGGTGAGACAAATGTAAAATAAGGAGCTGTCACTTGGAGATGTTAGGCACCAGACTAGTTATACAGGACTCCCTAGGTTTTAAGTTCCTGTCTTCCTTGGAGGAGTCCCCCCTTCCCCGTGGGGTTTCCCAGCATATGACCTCCACCCACCTTCCAAGGCTCTGAATTCCTATAGGGCTTACTGCCCCAAAGTGGAAGTGTGTCTCAGCCAATTCCAAAGAAAACCGACCCCCTCCATTCATTCTGCACAAAGGGCACAGTTAGAACTGAAGAACCACATTGGGCCCTGTACCACCACTCCTCTCCCTTTCCTCCTCCTCTCCTCCTCCTCTCCTCCTCCTCCTCCTCCTCCTCCTCCTCCTCCTCCCCCTCCTCCTCTCCTCCTTTCCTCCTTTTTTCTTGGCTCTAGACATGAATTCTAAAGCCCCAGGGGTTCTTCAGTCTCGGTCAGATATTGAAGTTTGCCCTCTCATGGTATATAGACGGTACGAGCTAATGATTACTGAACGGTTCCTCCGCACGCAGCTTGAATAAGATTCTGGGTCTGTAGAATTAAGTAACTGGCAAGATGGAAAGAAGAAAAAAAAACAGAATAGTGGGAATAACCCAAGTTAATCTGGGGATACAAAACCAGTTTCTTCACAGCTTCTGGCTGTAAGAGCTGTCTGCTTATGCTTGCTTACCCAAGGCAGACGCAGGCAGTGCGTCCCAAAATACAAACGCAAAATCTCAGACCTCACTGTACCAAATATGGGCTGGGAAAATTAATGCAGAAAGAAAAGCCAGGCACCTGGCAGTACAGAATGAATCAGAGGTAGAGGAGGGCAAGGAACACCTGCCTGTTGCCGGCTATGTCTTTAGTTTCTCTGCAGTCTGCACCAGCATTAGGCATTGATTTGGAAAAGTACACTTTGGGGAAAGATGTCAGGCAAGAGAATTAGTGGTCCTGTCTACTCCAGTCCTTGACCAGCTCCCCTTGTCCTGGATGGACCCCCTACCCTGAGCTCTTGCCTCACTCTACATATACACAAGACCCAGCCCCCAGATTCCTGAGAACATCCCCACTACACACCCAGGGAAGAGCTGTGTTCTAACATCCTTTGTTCATAGCCCTATCTCCACGCAAGTCACACACTATAGGACTTGACTCCCTTGCCTGTCTCCCCTGTTGAAGTATTAGCTGCTAGAGAGGGTTCCATCACAGTGGCCCCCACCCCCAAGATGTTTTATAACTGTGGTAAATCACTTAATTATATGTTGAGCTGGTGTGTTACATCTTAGGCCAAGCCAACAGCATTCTCATTATCTTCTCAGCATGGAGGTCACTTGGAGTTGGTTCCTTTAAACTAAGCTCAAGTACCCAGCCACGGGTTTCCATTCAGAGAGCATCAGCCAGGGCACATTGAAAATCACAGACGATGTGGTGCCACGTGGCTCATGTTCAAGTACCCACTCCACCAAGAATTTTAACTCTCCATGCCTCAGTTTCCACATCTTTTAAGTGAGGGAGGACAGTATCCTCAACTCCCACATGGTTAGGGAGACAAAGAGGGAAACAGGTGTGGCCGACCATCATCAGTTTTTAAAAGCCTCTTTTGACATTCACGAAAAGCCTGTGTCCATCACCTAGCCTCTGCTTTTGCCCTAATCTATGAACTGCAGGCAAAAGACCACGCAGCAGGGAGTAGAAACTTCAGGAAAGGGCTTTCCTAAGCCGGAGTTTGGTGGGGAATGGAGGGCACCCAGTATTGGGAAAACAAAACCAAGACGAAAAACAGCCTGAAACACACATTTTAAAAGTGAGGCGGGGGCAGGGGAGGACCAGACTCTAACTTTTAATACTGAAGACTCTAACTTGATTCACTGTGTAGGCAGGTTTCAATAAATTAGAGATAATGAGACAGTAGAGGGGGTAACATTTATGAGGCTGTGATTATGAGCCTGCACAATGCTAGGCATTTGCATATACCTTCTCTTGTTTAACCCTCATGACACCCCATGTTGACAAAGGAAAGTCACAGCAGTTAAGGGCTGGGCATGAGGTCACGTGGGGCTCAATCATGGAGCCCAGATTTGTTCTTCCTTTAAATTCTTCGGTTTTTCCCACCATGGGAGTCTCTGAATGGAACTCTCCCAGGCAGGCATCAAGCCAGCATTGGATTCTTCATGGGCCTCAGAGTGCCTGGTATCAGAATCAGACCCCTCCATGGTCAGGGGCTGAAACCCTCCAAGATCTGCCTTTTTACAGTCTGGACCAGTCAATTCCTTAGGGGTCAAAGTCCATGTGTTTGAAGCCATAGCCATTCGCCTCACGTGCGTCATCAAAGATGATGGTTTAACTCAAACCCTTCCCCCACCATTTCCAAAAGACCTCAAAAAGTCTGCAGGCTGACAGGCAGGCTGGCAGCTAGATGAGGGGAAGAGAGAGAGAGAAAAAGAGAAAGAGAGAGAGAGAGAGAGAGAGAGAGAGAGAGAGAGAGAGAACTTGCTTTTCAGTTGAAAAGCACATCTAAAAGAGCGAGGCGAGATAGCTCACCCCAAGCCCTGGAGGCTAAGACGGGGAGAGAGCCGTGATTGCAAAGTCAGCCTCAGCTACGTAGCAGTTCTAGGCTAGCCTGTCTCCAAAAACGGGGGGTGGAATGAGGGAAGGAAGGAGGGAGGGAGACTTGGGAGATGACTCAGTCAATAAAACACTTAACTTGCACGTAAGAATACTGAGTTCAGCCCCGAACCCAGGTGAAAACTGCGTGGTATGGCAACATGTCTGTAATCACACGGCTGGTGGGGAAGACACGAGTGGGTCCTTGAAGCCTAGGCTACATGGTGAGGAACAGACTCAAAAAGGGGGAAGGGGTACTGTGCCGATGTATCAACAGCTGGGACTAGTTTCTGGCCTACACACACACACAAACACACACACGCAGCTGTACACACATGAATACACAAAAAAAGAGACAATGGTAGGAAACTGTCTAAACACAGAACACAACAGTCTAAATAGCTTGGGGACTGATGGTCACTTTTCTCTTTCTCTTTTTTTTCACTTTTCTCCAGATGTCACAGTAGATTCTCGGCCCCCAGAGCCCACCAAGGTGAGAGGAAGATCTCTGCTTGGTTCTACGCTGACAGAAAAGCAGCCATGGAAATGGCATCTGAGCAAGCCAATGGGAGTCAACTATGGATACCCTCTCCATTCGACATCAATGGCTCACTGGGGTCAAGCAATGGCTCCAACCAGACCGAGCCGTACTACGACATGACAAGCAACGCAGTCCTCACATTCATCTACTTCGTGGTGTGCGTTGTTGGGCTGTGCGGCAACACGCTTGTCATTTACGTCATCCTCCGCTACGCCAAGATGAAAACCATCACCAATATTTACATCCTCAACTTGGCCATTGCAGATGAACTCTTCATGCTGGGGCTGCCCTTCTTGGCCATGCAGGTGGCACTGGTCCACTGGCCCTTCGGCAAGGCCATCTGCCGGGTGGTCATGACTGTAGACGGCATCAACCAGTTCACCAGTATCTTCTGTCTGACGGTCATGAGTATCGATCGTTACCTCGCCGTGGTCCACCCTATCAAGTCAGTCAAGTGGAGGCGGCCCCGGACAGCCAAGATGATCAATGTGGCTGTGTGGGGCCTCTCTCTGCTGGTCATCCTGCCCATCATGATATATGCTGGCCTCCGGAGCAACCAGAGGGGGAGGAGCAGCTGTACCATCAACTGGCCAGGTGAATCTGGGGCGTGGTACACAGGGTTCATTATCTATGCCTTCATCCTGGGGTTCCTGGTACCCCTCACCATCATCTGTCTCTGCTACCTGTTTATCATTATCAAGGTGAAATCCTCTGGAATCCGAGTGGGATCGTCCAAGAGGAAGAAGTCAGAGAAAAAGGTCACCCGCATGGTGTCCATCGTGGTGGCTGTCTTCATCTTCTGCTGGCTCCCTTTTTACATCTTCAATGTCTCGTCCGTGTCCGTGGCCATCAGCCCCACCCCTGCCTTGAAAGGCATGTTTGACTTTGTAGTGATCCTCACCTACGCCAACAGCTGTGCCAACCCCATCCTATATGCCTTCTTATCTGACAACTTCAAGAAGAGCTTCCAGAACGTTCTCTGCTTGGTCAAGGTGAGTGGTACCGATGATGGGGAACGGAGCGACAGTAAGCAGGACAAATCCCGGCTGAATGAGACCACAGAGACCCAGAGGACCCTCCTCAACGGAGACCTCCAAACCAGTATCTGAGATAGCCGGAAACCTACCATGCACGCACACACACAAGCCAAGCCTGCCTCCAGGCAGTGCGTTTCCCACTCACCTGCTTCCTGCCTCCCCACCCATCCTAGCTGGCTTGTTCTACATGAGCCCAGTTCAGAGGGCAGGATTTGAGTCTATTCCGCTGACTACTTCTCCCTTAAAGTGAACATTTTCCTACAGGCAGACAATTCAAAGCCTGGAGAAGAGGACATCATTGCCTGGGTGTGATGTTGAAGAAAGCAGCCGCCCAGGAGAAATCGGGGGGAAAAAAAAACAAACTAAACTAAACCAAAACCTGTGAATGTGTGCTTATACACTACGTAATCTTGTGGTCTGACATTTACATTTGTACATTCCTACCTAGTCTCTTCGAAGCCAGTACATACATGTTCCGTGATTGTAAACTGAAGTAGTTAGTTCATGTGTGTCTAGTATAGGTGAACATCTACCGCAACACTCAACCTAAAGAAATGGACCCGCCACGACAAAACTAATCAAGTTTAAGCTTCCAGCATCTCTCTTGCATGGGCCTTTCCCAGACCCAGGAGGAACATGAGCGGTATGTTCGTATTATAGTATGTTTTTGTAAAAAAAGAAAAAAAGGAAAGAAAAAAGAAAAAATGGTGAAAGCAAGGTATTTTTGTATTGTTCTTCCTAGAGGGCCCCTAAGCTAAATAAGGGTCTCGCCTCACAGGTGCTGCCCCTGAGTCTGGACAGTTGTTTCACCAATTTCAAACAAGTTAGGTTCGAGTAAAACAGAGAGGAGCGCACTGTGAGAGTCAGAATATAAATGGGAGTTCGCCTCTAGGACACAATCAGTTACTCATTTACCCAAAAGAACTTCAAGGGTTGTAGTCATTGACCACTGTGTTTATCAAGACAAAGCATGCTTTGTTATCAGACTGAATTTTTCTCTCCTCGGATTGCTTTAGTTTTACTTAGGGAGACATTGGGGAAGGGGTGGGATCGGTGACCTGAAAGGCAAAAAACAGACTATGATTCTTGTGGACAAACAATTTGCTCCCCAACATACATGCATACACACACACACACACACACACACACACACACACACACACACACACAAATGAGAAGAAGAAAAATGAAGTAGAATTATCCCTTTAAGAGAAACCTGGAAAGCGTTTTGTTTTTAATGCCAGATAAGACCCCTTAATGAAAGAAAACAGAAATGTAACTTGACAGCTCCTCAAAGGCGTTTTGGGGTTTTGCTGTTGTTCTTGGTTTGGGGAGAGGCTGTTCTTTCTTCCTGTCTATGTACATGTATGTATTTATGCCTGTGTCAGTATGTGTGCATGTGTATATATGTGTTTGTGTGTAGAAGTATGTATGTGCATGTGCATGTGTGTGCATGTACCCGTGTGTGTGTAGGTCAGAGGTTGGTGTTGCTGTCTCCTTCCATTACGCTCTACTTTACTTACTAGACGGGGTCTCTTGCTGAAAGATGAAGCTTTCCAGTCAAACAAGCCAGCTTGCCTAGAGGATCCCATCTCCAACCATGGAGTTTTACAAACATGCTGCCGTGTCCAGACAACCTTAACATGAACTCTGGTACCCAGATTCAGTCCCTCACACTTGAGCAGCAAGTGTGCTACCCAAAAGAGCCATTTCCCCAACTCTCAAAGGAGTTTTTATGTCATTATTATTAGTGGGGAGGGGGCATCCTTGTCCTGGCACATGTGTGGATGTCAGTGGACAACTTCATGGGGCCAGATCTCACCTTCCACCATTAATGGGCTACGGGGACCAAACTCAGGTCACCAGGCTGGTCAGCAAGTCATCACCCTATCTCAAAGACAGTTTTAAAGAACTTCATGCAAAGCTGGGCATTTTGAAAATCTCAGTACTGAGACTCAGGAATGTGTATAGGAAATGTTCAATCAAGACCAGCTAATGGAGTATATAAGTATGTTCAGGGCATGAATTGGGTGCCCTTTCCTTCACAGGGACAGCTACGTCTCCTCCGTCAGCTGTGCACGCGTGTGGCCTCGCCAAGCTCTCTCACAATACCAGTGCTTTTTGTTTCCAGCTATAGATGGATTTGTATACAGGTGACAGAGAAAGGTCCAGCCCTCGTCCCTTGGTTGATCACGGCTCTAGGCGATGAAGAAACACAGGCACAGGTGTGGAAGATGCTGTTTTAGAAGCATCACTCTTAGCAGCCCACACGTAGACTTCAAATGTATTTTAAAACGTGCTTTCTTCTTCTGTCTCCTTAAGAAGGACTATTTAGTGGTCACAATGGCTGACTGCCCTACCTGTGGCTATCCTACCTTACTTGGCCGCCTTAACTCTCAGGCTATGTCACTCATACCGCCTGGCTCCCAAAAACTACCGACTATGGCTTAGGAAGATACATCCATTGGGATTTATGCTAGACAAATAAATTTACCCAAAAGTAAAAGCACAATCATAAAACAAGACTACAAGGACAGTTGTTGCAAAAAGACAAACATATACAGAAAAATCCCAGGCTGTTACCAAAGGCCAAGTTAGCTACAAGTTCAGCTTTGGGCTGGTGTCTTGGCAGCCATAACAAACAGTGAGTCACTGCTTCTTTTTCTTTTTAATGCTAACAGGGAAAAAATGGAAAGAAACACTATAGATACAACTTTATCATTACAATCGGAAATATTCATCTTGAATAAATGTCTTTTTTTTTTCACTTAGGGAAATCTCTCTAAGAAACCCAGAACTGATGGCAATCATTCCAAGAAGATAGGTCAGAGTAACTCTATAGTGTTCATGTTCCCAAAGCTTCGTAAATTGCCTCCCACAAGGTTCTGATCCTAAGCAGCCACCAATAACCTCAAGACGGAATGTCTAAGTGGTGTCTGGGGTACTCGGCAACAGGGAGGTCATTGGAAGGCAGGAAGAAGGGGACTTTAACACATGTGGTACAGGGCCAGGAGGTGGATCAGTCAAGAAAATGCTTGCCTCACAAGTTTGAGGACCTGAGTTCAATCCCTAGAACCCACATGAAAAGTTACAGGCAGTGCTTACATTCCAGAAATGGCGAGACCGGTGGTGGAGAGAGATGGACCTCTGGAAGTGCATCAAACCTAAGTGGCGAAGGTCCAGGCCAATGAGACCCTGTCTCAAACAAAAAGTAGATGTGCCTATGGATCAACACTCAAGGCTTTCCTCACACACACACACACACACACACACACACACACACACGTTCAACCCATGTGCATTCGTATACATGAACACATACATACAACATAAACACACACCACATACACATAACACACAATACATACACACAACGCATAACATACATGGTACACAATATATACACATACATACCACACACACAAAACACTTGCATACACACAACATACATACCAGACACACATACTTACAAGCACACATACAAGATGGATGCTTAATTCTCTACAGATAAGCAGTCAGGTCCCATGATATGGAAATTTATGTTTCACCTGTTAAAGCACCTATATTTCTATTTTAACTAAAAATTTAAAATATATATTCTTTTATATGTATGAATATTTTGCTTGCATGTCTGTCTGTATACCATGTGGATGCCTGGTACCTGTGGAAGCCAGAAGAGGGCACTGGAGTTTCTGGGAGTAGAGGTACAGATGGTTGTATGTGGGTCCTAGGGATCAAACCTGGGTCCTCTACAAGACCAGCCAATGATGTTAACCCCTGAGTCATCTCTCCAGCCCCTGAGCATCTTATTTTTAAAGATGACTTGTTCTCTGGATTTCTGTTATCCAAAAGAGGAACAAAAAAAAAGGATGTTAACACAATTTTGGTTCAGAAAGTCACTCTTAGCTTCAACTCAACATCATGAAGATAAGTCCTCTGGATGCTGGGGGTGAGACAATAAAAAGTAATCCATCGGGGCTAGAAAGATAGCTCAGCGGTTAGGAACACTTGCTACTCCTGCAGAATACCCCATTGGTTCCTAGGACCCATGCTCACAGTCTAGCTCCATGGATCTGATGCCCTCTTCTGGCTTCTGTGAACACCTGCACGCAGGTGCACACAAAAGCACACACATGAGCGTAAAGCATAATTTAAAGTAAAATAAACCTTTTTTTTAAAAATTAATGCCTCAGATTGAATTTGTGATTCCTAGTGGTCTGATGGGTTTTGCAAACTACTCCACATCTCCCATTAGCAGGGGTTGCTAAGGGTTGATGAATTCTGCGAAAACTTAGCAGGAGACACACTGGGCAATGCTACGGCACTGGGGTGCTGAATGACCTTAGACAGCTGAGTAACCTTGGCCAGGGAGCTGCTCTGTGTGGGGTTTGCACCTTAGCTCAGAACATGCTCTGATGACATGAAGAGGACCGTGGAGGGACAATGTGGACAGGAGGAAAGGAGCCTGCTTGCTTACACGGATCTGATCTCTCCATGGGCACAGCGCAAGCGCTGCTCACGGAAGCTTCTGGCCCCAGCTCTCCTAGAGGTGTTCAATATGAGCCCTGGGGTGTGGGAAGACAACGGTGGCTGACAGCCATGCCCCCGCCCCGAGCAGCTCCGATGGTGACCGGTCAATGAAGGGAAGTCACAATGGGTAAAAGCCAAGCTTTTCTGCCTTGTTGGGGATATACGGCAGGAGGATCCAAGCGGTTGGGGTGCGTGGTGGGAAAGTGATTAGGGTTTCTAAGTAACAACTTAGAATCAATCACTTGTCTCATCCACATTTTTGCCAGCTTCCAAAGACTGAATTCCCCAGCAAACGCTCCATCAAAGCAATCTTCACGTAAGAGTTTATTTACTCTCTGTGAATAAATTCCCATTGGTTCTCTCTCTCTCTCTCTCTCTCTCTCTCTCTCTCTCTCTCTCTCTCTCTCTCTCTCCAGGGTTTTCTCTGTGTTAATAGTCCTAGCTGTCCTGGAACTAGCTCTTGTTCCAGGCTGGCCTCGAACTCACAGAGATCCACCTGTCTCTGCCTCCTGAGCCTGTCTCTGTCTCTGCGCCACCACCACCTGGCTTGTTTTTGTTTTTCTCCAGCAGCTCATCTAGGGACAGAGTTCTGCTTACAGAGGACAATCTTTCATAGCTGCCGTTACTTATTCAATTCAACAACCACTGGACAGAGACTATTGTCTCAAAGACAAAGACTCCCCCATGGCCATTTCAACACCAGCCCACCCCTTCTGGCACTCGGAGGGGCTGACCACACTAGCAGGTGAGCCGCTTGTTGTCCTAGAGATGTCTCTGGCTGTTCGTATCTGAACTCTGCTTGAAAACAGGGCTAAATATTAACCAAGCCCTAGCGGAACCCACTGTAAAGCATTATTGATTCTCCTAAGATAGAAGCGAGTGTAATGTCATTAAAATGAAATGCTAGGGTTGGCTCACCTGGTCCAGTGAGCACCTGCCTCCTGTTGGACCGAGATAGGAAGCAGGAGCAAGTCAAAGGCACAGGCTAGGCTCTCAGTGCACGGGTATAGAGCCGACACACGGATGGGGGCAAGCATCTGTCTCTTCCCTGGCATCGGTGAGGAGCAGAAAGACCAGACTGCTTTGCTGGGATACCATATCCAGCAGGGAGAGCTACTCACGCCTGTTCCTCTTCTGTTCTGCTGCCACCAGGACTGAAAGCAGAAAAGAAATGTCCTGGCTTAGAGGTACAACTGTCTGGCCTTTTTATGAAGCCTGTTAAGAGATGTGATACAAGGGGCTGGAAAGATGAGTCAGAGGCCAAGAGCACTCTCTGCTCTTCCAGAGGACTTCCAAGCATGGTGGCTCAAACAACCTGTAACTCCAGTTCCAGGGAATCTGATGCCCTCTTCTGGCCTCTGTGAGCACCAGGCACTCATGTGGTACACAGACAAACATGCCAGCGAAGCACCCAAACACACAAAAAAGATGGGGGAGGGGTGATGCAAGACCCACCCCCAAAGGAATCAGAACTGCTACATCGTGGCCCAGTCCAGTTGTCTAAGCAATGGAGAAGGTCCCTTGACAGTACAAGCCACCAAAGAAAGTATCTGGAGGTCTCCAGGGAGCCCAGCCCAGGGGCGGGTCTACTAAATAAAGCCTTGCTAGCCCTGCACATAACTCCTGACGATGTAGACACTGTAAAGCGCCAGCCGCAGGGGCCCCAGAGAGCAACTTCTAGAGTCCCTGGAGCAAAATCCACAATTAACCATCACACTAGGGACAGTAGGGACCAGTCATTCCTCATCAGTAATTCCTGTGCCTTGTGGGGGTCTGGGGTAGCAGTCCTGTTCCCAGGTAAGGGAGGTCATTCATTTGAAAGCAAAAATATGCAGAGTTGCCG